CAAAGATAATCTGAGGATTATTTTAGGCACCTTGAAGAAACTATAGTCGGCCGAATCACGGACCACGCCGAAACGATAGGTCCCATCTTTCAGAAGGCCGTCCATTGTCGTGAAGGGCATGATGAACGTTTTAACAGCAAGGAAACTAATTAAGGCAGCGGAATACGCGGCTAGTATCACGACGGCCGAAAGGTGAATTACGAAATGCACCATTCTCACGGGATCCAGCGTCGATTGTGCCATACCTGATGATACCATTTTTCATGAGAAAGATAGCAGTCGTATATTTGAAAAAAAATTATACTGAACTACAAGAGAAGCGCAATACTCGAGGGGAGGGGGAGAGGGAATCATTCGTAGAAGTCGAAGTTACCTTGACTGCAAAACGCTCCTAGGACGAAAAACACATTTTCTGTAAATCTCGAACGGTCGTCATTTTTAAGATACGGGGACGCGAATGCAAATAGTCTCTGAATGAACACGATCAATCCGCTTGTAAGTACGATGAAAAAACCGATGCTGCCCCAGATGTTCGCGGAGAATGGTGCCGTGTAAGCATCCCATTTTAGGTCAGACGTAGCAGGCCTTTTAATATACGCACGACATCTTAAAACAAAGGGAACGTAAATAATAAATTTCAGTTACGTTATTCAGTTACGTTATTCGGCTCGTAAACTCATAAGTATATTAGTTTTTAATGGACTCGACAAGATCTAACGTCTAGACAGTAAAATTTAATACATAAACAAAATTTAATACGTTTCCCTTAAATCCTATTAATTTTGCACAAATTTTAATGATACGCGCATCCTGGTACTTGCTAAATACAAATTATTTTAAACTTAGGCATTGGACATCTCAAACTTGTCGCTAAAATGTCGTTCTGTTAGACTTAGATGTCTCGTCGTTCAGAATTTGTGAAGAAGAAGTATATACTACTTGGTCGTGTAAATGGGCGTTGTAAAACTGATGGCATCTAATCTATCCGAGGTCATCATGAACTCCGTCGCCGCGAAGTCGACGTCATTGTTTATCAACATCCCAATTGCACCCGTACACGAGCCGCTTGATAGACACATACCCCACGATTCAGCCTCCTTGTAAGTGAATCTGCAGCACATTTAAAAATAAAATCAGTTATTTTACAGTCAACAATTTTGTCGCAGCCTGTATGAGGAAAAAGTAATCAGTTACTTTCCGATAACAATTGTATGCTTTTTCCGAAGAAACTTCACAGCGAAACTTCAGCGAAAGCTGTCAAGTTCGAAATTAAATAATTAGAAAATTATGTCAAAATTATCGATAACTCTTTCCGAACAGCAATAGCTGTTGCAGCAATTCCAGAATAAGAGGGAGGAAGAAGGATACAGGATGAAGGAGCAATGATAACGTCATGCTACGCAATTTTACTGCAAAATGGATCAATTTGAAAAGGATCAGAATAACGACGTAACCTTTTTAAAAATATTTATGTCATAATTTTTATCGAACTTGATAATAAGTGTTTAAATAACGTAGAAAGAGAAATAATTATATCTTATCTATTTAAATATCAATTTAAGCCATTTTTTATTATATATAGTTATTATGTGTTAAATAACTTATATAGATATCTAGTATGTTTTATTTTATTTGTCGCATAAGTTACGCCAATTCAAAATCGATAATTTCTTACACTAAATACTATGCTTTTTTTACGAGAGAGAACTTTAATATTTTTCAATGAATCCTATGATATAATTAGGTTTTATCCATCGTATAATCCAAGAACGTATTCGGAAAGACGTCGAAGAAGCGGCGATGGCCGAAAGAGGGAGATCTTCGAGGAAAAAGCGGCGGCTAGCGAGGAAGAATATTTCCGAAAAGAGACCGCAAGACAATTGAAAGAGCTGAAAGAAAAGCAAAAGCAACTTAAAGAAGAGAAAAAGAATAAAATAGCAAAAGAAAATGATAAAGCAGCGGAGAAAGATGATGATAAACCCGATCAAGCCGATAAAGCCACGTCAAAAAAGCCGGGCGAAAAGTGACGTAACATGGGAAGTTGCAATATAATATATTACGGCAATTACTGACTTGTCATTGATTCAATGAATTATATATTTCTATTTGAAAATTGCTATATAATATATAATCGTTAAGTTTAATAATGCTTATCTATACAGAGCGTAATTTTATATAATATAATAACTTCCGTCACAAACACAATACAGTTTTTATCTAATAGTATACTTACGTGCAATTCAATGCTTCCTGTAACAGCAGTATCACTTGCCCGAAAAAACCACTGATTCCTGTTATCTCATTCCGTTCGTTACGATGAAATATACTGATAGGAGGGTCCTATGCGTATAAAAATATTATGCCAAAGCGAATATCAAGCTCCCTCAAGGATCGATATAATAAACTTTTTATTTAAAAAAAAAAGATTAATAAAAGAATGCAAGGTGATAAGTAATTAATACTTTTTAAAGCACCGTTACGTCATGCGTGATACAAAAGAAAGAAAGATCATAAAAGTTTATTGTTAATAACCTATTCCACTAATTATCATTAATTTAAATATTATTATAATTGTTATTTTTTTCAATAACTGACTAATTGCGTGTTTCATCGATATAATCGACTCTCTTGCGGAAAATAGGATAAGCGACCTTACCTGGACCGACGCAACGCGTATATTCTGGCCGAAAAGATTGTTCCTTCTTAAAAATAGGCCACGCGTAGGGCCCTTCAGACCATTCCTTACGTCCCATATGCCGAACTGCATGGATCTCAGTTCTTTCCGTTTGTCAACTTGATAAACTTCAGTGATGATCTCTGTGTCGTTTACGTTGGCGCTACTCTGAGCCACCATGAACTTACAATCAAACGGCACGTAAATCTCGAAGAAAAAGTCCGCGAATTTTGTCCCGTTACTGAAGAATACCAGCCAAGTGGGATAAGCCATCGTGATCCACGTTGAAATCTGCTACATTTTAGCAAATAAACATTCGTGTTGCTCGTTTCCACTTGGAAACTTTTCAGACTTTGCTTTACGAGAAAACAATAACGAAAAAGAGCAGTATATTTCGCGACGAAAAAGAAAGTTTTTCAAAACTTGAACATTTTTCTTCGACATTTTAAAATTTTGAAAATGCACGGAAATAAAACTTGTATTGCATAAAATTTATTTAATTTACATATATTTATTATAATAAAAATTAAGAGAAAAAAAAATTTTTCTTTTATTTTTGTGCGCAATAGTAAAGTAATTTTCTAATATTACTGCAATAATCGAATAACGAATTTAAGTTTCATTAATAACGTTTTTAAAACTTTTGGAAGATAATTACATGCGCAAAGCCATCCCTTGTATCTTCATAGTCGTTTAGCAGGACGAACAAAGGTCTCTTGATGTGAAAATAAGTTTGCCCGACCTGCAAGCAATCAAATCTCTTCTTCTTTTGGCCAGAGATAAATGCATCATTTAATGCATTTATGTGGGACAAAAATGATCCTGCTATTCATTACGTAGCGCTTTGCTATACAAAAGAACACTTCGCTTTGATGTTTTCAACAATTAGATAATACTCATTGCGAAAAAAAGGACAAATCCCTTTTCTCTCTAAACGCTCACTCGTGTGCTGAACATATGAAAATCCATGAAGGTGGTGCGTATGTGATGAGTCATGCTCAGGTATTTCTGAAGAACCATCAAGCCTTCGCTTTCCGTGAGTCCTGTAAAGCGTGAGTTTTTAATATATAATATATACGAACAATTGATTGCGTGCCAGATCATTATTTCAATCGATCGAATATTCGCAATATTCTGCCTTCGCATTTGTTCTCACCCTGCGTCTCAATAGGATTTGGAGTGTTGTGCAGAAGTATGATACACGTGTTATTGAAGAAGTCACGGATACCTTTGATCAGGCCCTCATACACGTAAACCGGCCTGATCAGTTGACACGACGCGAGATCGAATGTCGTCCATACGAGGACAATCAGACCTAGGATCAAGGATAGGTCGGGCTTGCAAAACATTCTTCGTCTTGCGACTGCTTAGCGCAAATCGACGATCATCGACAGATCCGATCGATTTCACGAGTCAGCTCGGTAGATCGAGTATGATACACAACGATCCCGGATCCGATACATTTTGCGGTTGCACTCGCACTGCGTTTCCTTCGTATCGTACCAACTGCGGCGAAGAGGATAGTCATTTAGTTTAAATGTCAGATAAAAGTGTACATATCAGTAGTTATTCCTGCCGCACTACAATTTATCTGATGTTGTGTTAGAACATAATAAAGTGTCATTCGCGCACCGATCGCGTGCCCGATCGCAATTCCATTGAGAGTCGGCAAAAACCTTTCTGTATATTCGAATCTGTAATAATTTGTAACAATTACGCGGATACAAATGATTACGAGGATCAAATTGACTCGGACGTGGCACGTGGCGCAAAAAATCGCACGACTGTGCTTATGCGTGACGGATAATTCGCCAAGAAGCCAAGAACGAAGCCATTCCCTAAGCCCTAAGCAAACGCGATCGACTGATACGCACATCGATTCCACGAGTCCGAATAAATTATGCATTTGCTCTCTTTGCGTGCATTTGCTCACTGGTTTGTGTAAACCGAACCATGCCACTGTTCAAACAATTATATCTGTATATCGGTCACTTTGAGTGGAATATCGTTTAGCAATCTGAGCAAACTTGATTTGCGAACTCCGCGGATTAATACAAATTGAACGACCGATTTGTTTATTGGAAATTTCCGTACAAAGCAATATCGATCAGGTAATTCGTGGTTTGATAATCATGCAACGGAATCTGATCTAAATAATATAGTCCATTATAATAATTTCTATAAATGAAAACCATGACTAACGACTGATTTATGGAAACATAATTGAGATTAAAGATTATGTAAGAGATTATCAGGATTATTGATTTGTTCTACCAACACGAAACTTTCAATCAAAAAGCAACTAACATGATTCGATATATTTGATCTAATCAGCAAGAAATAAAGTCAATAAAGTTTTTTTTATGTAGAGTAAGCGATATTTATGCACATTAACACAATTATATTCAATAAAAAAATATATAATAATGTTTACAAGTTTAGAAATACAGTTAAAAACGTTCTAATTTTCATTTTATAAATTTATAAATTCTTAATTTCTAATTTTTAATATTTTACAAATTAAATTTTAAAACTACCAGAGTGCTCTAAAAATATCACGCACAAGGTGCGCAATAATAAAGAACAATTTCTCAGCTTGTATATGTGAATCATCACCAAGAATGTTTTGCCTACTTTCAAGGAGACATTTGGCGACGCTTTTACGACGTTTGTTCCAGAAAATAAAAGAAAGATCATAAATTTTTATTGGGTTCCAGTAAATTAAGATATTTAATTGACGATGTGTGCACAACCAACTATAAAACTTATCAATATATAAATTTGCATCTTATCTAATTACTATTAACTTTAGTGTCACATATCTCCAGTTATATTTGTGCAAGACACTGGCGCGTGAATCATTCAAGTGCAATTCTTCTACCATTTTTACAGGAATTTCTGTAACGAGAAGCAAAAGCGATAACGGTAAGTGCTACTATCGTAAGTAAGATCTATGACTCGTCCGCAACAATTAATTTTCCGTAAGGACTTTAACTTACATATATAATGTATACATTTATAGGTCAATTGTATAGCATATATATATAAGAATACTGTACGAGAGAAAATGTCAGTCCTTTTCTCAGCGTGTTCAGGAAGCATCATGTTACGAAAACTTATCTATGCTGTTCTTACATTTTTCGCTCTAATAATAATGTCACAGGCTAGTCGTAAGTATTCACACATACAAACATAATATATACTTAATTATATGTAATTAACTGAATTCTCTATTACATTCAGCAAAAAACTGAATAGTAGAAGAGATAATAAACACATAATGAAGAGAAGATAAAAAGTGACAATATTTAAAAAGCGCAGCCTCTGTTATCATAAATTTACTGAAAATTTCAATTTTTCCTAATTTTTAATTATTAATTATAGCAATAGATTGTTGACTTGCTTGGAATTATATTCAATACTATTACAACATTTATGAATTAAAAGGCTTATGCAATCAACTTTAACAAAGTAAAATTTTACGTTGAGACTTGCAACTAAGAAATTTTTCTCATTTACAGCCATAGCAGAAAATACCGAATCGAACGACAATGATATGCGTGCGCTCTTGACTACCATACTCGCACTATTGCCACCCGATCAACTTTCATTAAACCAATATATAAATAATGTAATGAAAATGTGCGGAATGCGTTTGCCGTGTACGATACACTCTATCGTCCCATGGGAATTCAACTGCACGCTGGTTAAATAATGGACACTTTTGAAATCCTTTTTTCCCTATAACTTTGATTGTAAATGACGTAACAACGATTGTAACACTTACTGAACGTAAAATTTCTTATCGTAAATTCTGTTACAATGTTTTATTAAAAGCAAAATTCTATAAGAAATATTTAAATATATATTAGTTACGTAATATAGTAAATATATCATATTAAATATGTATCAGTTATGTAATATGATACAAGATTTCGACATACAATATAATACAAGACATATGTAACAAGACTCCGCGATATATTAAAATTTGTTTTAGATAACGTAAAAATTCATGTAAAATGTGCGTCTAATATTGAAAAGTACAACAGAAAATTTTCTAACTTTTTAATAAAGCTGATTATGTTATTCGATTATTTGTTTGGTAATGTCAATTATAACGATCTGATAAAGCATAAATTTCATCTTATAAAATACACAAGATATACATATATATATGGATTATTTCAATTTCTTAATTAGTTACTGAGTTAACTTAAGGAATTACATTATTTAATTCAGCAACAAAAAACTGAAAAACGGAAGTCAGCAAAAGAAAGCCAGAAGTACAGAAACTGTCCTTTTCTAAAGAATTGCGAAACCACTTGACAATTTATTTTATTTGCGCACGTATGGAAGCAATAATTTATTAATATTTAGTATTGTAAGTTATATCTAGTTTTGGGATATCTTCACGAAACAACATGTCATTTTGTTTCATAAAGAAAAACCCGGAAACCTAAGTATTGTGTTACATCACGTCAAAATAGCGATAATAAAAAGAAGGTAGGTAAACCGTAAATGTCATTGTGAACATCGAGAACGTTTTTCCATGTGAAATTAGCATCGATAACAGGCCTTATTATACACAAATGCGTCAGTGCTGTCCGTGAAAAATCGTTTATTATCATTAGTTCTACAAATGCTGCCTTCCAAGCAACCTAGTTCGATGCAAACTTACGCGGGTGCTTGTATACTTATTAGATATTTTATTATTGTTAAAATAAAATAAAGAAAAGTTTTGGATATATCGAATAAAAGGTAGAACAAAGTAAAACTCGATACGAACGCGAGCGATCGGGCGCAATTAGCAAGTAGACGCAATTAGCGAGTTTGACGCAATTTAAAATATCGCAGCGTCCGCTCGGAACATCATTTGCAACTATTATCGCAAACGGAATCAATTAAGACGACTAGAATGTCAGGTTGTCAAAAGATTGCATTAGACTAATTATTTCTGCCAAAGATTTCTGCCAAAGAATAACGATAAAAAGGCGCGACGAAGCTCCGCAAAGTGGCTGTCTCCGAAAAGTTTCGACAAGGCAAGAAACGAAATAAAAAACGCCGGTCGAAATCAACGACAAATTTCGCTACTTCTGACCTAAGGCCAATTATTTACAAAATGAGGATACCGTTTCTCATTCTCTGTCTGGCTGTGGTGTACGGAGCCTGCCGGACATACGGACGTGAGGAAAGTAATATCGACTTGACTGGAGAATTAAAAAGTAAGTCTTATAATAATGTATTAATAACATAATTATATGTTAGCGCTTTTTAAAAGTGTTTTGACTTTCAATAAAATCACATTTTACAAAATTGTAATACTAAATAACGCGCTATGAGATAAATAAAATTTTTCCATTTACAAATTGTGTACGGCCATACATTATTTTTAAACAATAATTTGTTATTATTCTTCTATATATGCTTTTTTAAAATAAATTAATAAGATATCTATATAATCGGGGAAAGAATAATTATTTAAAATATTATTCCGATATAAGTAGTATTCGTCTTGTGTAAATAAAATATAAATATATAATTAATTTATAAATAATACATAAATAATAGAAATTAATGTTTATATTACAATAATTACAATAATACAATAATATTTTCATTATGTAACTTTTTTTAGATAATGGAGATAACAAATTCGACCTTGCACCAACAACAGACCTACCTCTCGAGAAATTTCTCTCGAGGCATAGAAGATTTGCCAGTTTGTTGTCACCATTGTCATCAATTACAAGTGTTACAAACCCGATAGATACGGCATTAAAGCTATTTGGGTTGGACAATTGTATTATATCTACAATGGTAGACGGGATAAAATTCATATCTGGCGCACTGACTGGACAAGATGTGTGCCTCAAAGTAGAAAAATTATCCCTCAATTTGAACGCTATACTACATCCAATTGAAACGGCCAAAACCGTAGTGTGCTACACCTTCCAAACAATTGGGTCAGGTACCCGTGCATTAATAGGAAAAGGGTTTGAGCTAGCTTCACAATTCTTCAGAAACGTATTCCTACCAGGACTGCACACGATGTTGAATATATTCGACAAAACTGGTCTCTTACCCCCACAAATCAGTGCAATGATCAAAATGTTCAACATAGTTTATTCAATCTTACAAATATCTGGATATGTCCCGAAATAGAATTTCATTTCCCACTCTTAAAAACTGCAAAGTTAGAAAAAAACGTAATAATTTATGACTAAGACATTTCTTCGCCAGTATCAAAAAATATGTAAAAGAAAAGAATTAACACAGACTTGTTAATTCTTTTCTTTTACATATTTTTTGATACTGGCGAAGAAATGTCTCAGTCATAAATTATTACGTTTTTTTCTAACTTTGCAGTTTTTAAGAGTGGGAAATGAAAGCGCTATGTAAAAGAAAAAAATTAACAAGTCTGTTAAGGCGTGTTAATTAAAAATCTGTTAATTAAAAATTTTTTATGCAAAATTAATGTCAATAAAGTATGAGTTGTTTAAATAATTTAACAAATCTAAAAATATATAAATATTTATACGATTCATATTTTGTCACATCTTCAATTACGAATAATGTTACAACAGATTGTCTCTTCAAAAAATTCTAGTACACGCTAAGAAGAATGCTAAGTGATATAAATAAACAATAAAATAATTGAATTGTAAAAACTTTATTTCTTTTTATGCATTCCCTTATATAACCAGAAGAACACTACTAATACATACGATACGTCGTTCACACACAAAAATTATTTCATAAATATCTATATATATATATACACACATTTCTAGGGAATCCGTCATATAGTAACATATTTGAGCAAAGATATAAGCAAACAATTTCTATCATTATTTTAAATACCTACTTCACAGTTTCATTAGATGAAATTGTTAACTCTCACAAACAAAAAATAAATATATATTGTTATCAAGACTTAAACTGTCATTAGAAAGTATAAGTAAACATAAATTTCATGATACTAAATTTTTATTTAAGCGTTTGTATTCAGAAAGAATCATCATCATCTGTGTATTCATATTTATCTAGAATTTTTGAAACTTCTTCTTCGTGTTCGTCGATTTCATCTTCCGATAAATGGCACTCTCCTTCCATAAATCTCGCAAATCTAAAAAATTCATATCAATATTGCTAATTTCGACGCTTTGCTGGTCGCATATTGTAATATTAAATTTACACAAGCTGTAACCTTATCGGATCTTTCAGTTTTAAAACTGTCTTCCAAGGATTGCATTCTGGACTGGAGCAATAGTTCTGTAGATCTTTTAAAGCTCTCCTAGTTTGCCGTATTCCTTCTTGGTGATATTGATCTTCATTTAACAATTTCCGCTTTTCCGGAAACACGTTTTGCCTCATTTAAAAAAAGGGAAAGAAAAAGCGGTGTATTACATTTCGTGTTTTCGTGGTTAAAGATAAATTTCAAAAAATATATAAAAAAACCTTTATATACAGATAAGTACATTCGTACTTGATACATAAGTAATTTGTTATTGCATATTTGAAAAATGTCCGAAACCCAAACCAAAAATATCCAATAATAGGTAAAGATGATTAGATATCTGACAAGTTAATAATGCGCTTTTACTTCTTATATACTTGCAAAGTTTATAACACTAGTTCTAAATAAGATTTAATAAGCATGAAACGCAACCTAAAAGAATACAAGGCATTTTATTGCAAAAACTGAAAATACAACTGCTCAATGAATACATTATACATTTTATAAAAATTACTCAAAAATTATTTGAACATATACTAAGCTTAAGAAAAATATATATAATATTGAGTAAAAATTAGTAAATAAAGACTGTAGATATAATATACAGTGCATTGTGCTTAAGATAAAGTTGTGTATTATGCTGGTAGGTGATTTAATATATTTAAGCATTAGCAACACATACAACTTATTATAGATTCAAATAATATTAAATATCTACAAAATCATTACAAACGCATAAAGCTACTAAAAGAGAAAACCAATATAAACGGAAGGAGAATATGTGCAATTATATGTGCAGAATGGATTTGAAGTTTATTCAAACAATTAATCTGAAAAATAATCAATTTTCACATAATTGCGGTTCTGTGTAGAAGGTAATTATAGCTTGTTATAAAATAGCAATAATGCTATACGTCTTATCGATGCTTACCAATACCTCTTTGCTCGCTCAAGTGCTGCTTTCGGAAAATTATAAAAAAGTATAAGTACAACGCAACATGATAAGGCTGCTTCATGGAAGTGACTGCTAAAATAAACCAGCGCCAATCCTACGAGCTATACGAACATAGAAAATCATTTATAATAACAAATTAAAAAAGAAAATTGTATAATATAGCTTACCTGCAAAAACCATTGTATTATTTGTTTCGTTCTTGCATTGGTAACTGGACCGAAACGGTAACAAATTACAAAACTAATCAGAGATGTAACAAGAACATACCACATCGCCCATTCTCTATATTGCATTACAATTACTTGCATGTTTTCCCATAACGTTTTAGCAATATAAAGACTCATCGATGCAGCAAATATTACGTACATAGCTTTTCCCTTAATAATAGAAATATATGTAAGATATCTTTATCAAGAATCATGTTAGAGTCGAGTATTATTACATTAAAATAGCTACCCGTGGTATCAATTTTCCAGCCATGTATATTACAATTGTAACAGATAAAGTAACTCCAAATATTATGCCACAAGCATAATAAAATACTGAATTCCGACTTAATATCTTGGCACACCAGAAAACTACGATACCCATTACCATCATTGTCAGTCTCCAAACATTAACACCTGATGATGAAAAATGATATATCACCGATTCTTAACACACAAAATGGAGTAATCGCAAATCTAAATTCAGAATTGCTTACGTGTTTCTTCCAGAGTGATTATATAGCCAGATTCACTGGGAGAATCTACATAAACGCCTATGCATGTATTTTCAAATGGATTAATCTTAAATTGTCTATGTTTTCCTGTATCAAACAGATTGAGACTCCATGATTTATCATTTTCATCGTACTTTTGGTGAATCTCATCAGGTGTTTTGCCGTCGTATAAAACATAGGAGTCGGAATTGATATTCAGGTGCATCTATAGTATTAAAAGTTTATATCATAAACATATAACAATTTTTTATATGCATACAGGTCATCCTGAGAACTTCTTACAGTCATGGTCCTCCACATATGCGTTAAGTACTTTGATGTAGCATTATGACAATACGTTTTCAGACCAGGATTATTATTTTGTACACTGTCACCGGCATTCAGAAAGTGCATTCCTGAAACATTAAAAAAAATACACATATATCAAAATATATCGCAACTAGGATATAACAAATAAATATTTATACAATCATAAAATAGTCTACTATCTTTAGAAAAGGCATTTTATAATTGTAATGATTGTAACTTTAGGCTCTCTATCGACTGTATTTGTAAATTACAAAAGAATTTGAATTATTTGAATAAATAACTTTGCAATAAAAAAAATATTTTAGCAATATACACATAACTTCGCATATTCTACGTGCATAATAATCAAGTGCAGATCAAGTGACAAAATACAATTGTCAAATATATTTTAATAACAAAATCGAATAGCCTCGATCGAATAGCTCCGAGCAGAATGCACGAAAACCGTGCATTTTGCTCGGAGCATTTTCACAATGACATATTATCTATCGATAACACATATTATCTCGCCCGCCAATTGTCTCGACAATGGCATTATTGCTGCCCTTCTCAATTTCATAATTTCTGATAACAGGATTATCAGAAGGCCGGTTTTTATCTTTCGGACGACGTTAGAGGTTAGCTTACTTGGTTCCTCGAGAATGCGACGCGCGTACGCGCATCGAGACAAACAAAGACACAGGAAAATCCATTTCGCCAGTCCGACTGCGTTATCCATTCTCCCAGTTCGACGATTTCTTTCCGCATTCACGATCACCGCATGCCGCCGGCACCGGGCAGCTGCCGACCAAAGATTTGAACGTTATAATCATCAGCGAGAGGCGAGGCGAGAGAAATGCGAATGCGGCGAATCGATCGTTCGACCATTGCGAGATCTCGTGAATCGAGATTCGGATTCGAGATGTTGCAAACGCAGGTTATGTTTATCTTTGTAGCTGAACTCTTTGTACCTTCCGTCTTTCTTCTTTCTCTCACCAACTGTCTGATTTATATATGCCTGTCTCATTTTAAGTGCAAGAAGTATAACAGTGCAGCTACAAAGAACAGAACTTATAAACAGATGATGTATTTACGATAAAGACATCTGTTCTTTCCAGGACTGACCAACTCTTTATTCTTCTCTTTGCTTCTTTTTTTCCTCTTTCTCCTTTCTATCAAATCCCAAATGTACATATTTATGTCATTTCATGGTAGAAAGCGTGACATAAGGGACAATAAGGGTGCAACTGATGAAATAAACAAAAATCAGATGTAGGGTCTCAAACGTGACAAATGGTCGTGGCAGGAGATAATTTTCATCGCGGAAATTCTAATAACGAATGATATAATATTGACGGTCTAGATTTCTAGAATCCTAGATTCTACGGTCTAGATTTGGGATACGATAATGAGCCAATTTGTTACGGTGCAAGGTAAATGCGTGCGACCGATGTCCAAATGATCTTGTCAAGTATGAACTGAAGGCGGTGTGGACATGAAAAACGAATTGATCTCTTCATTCTTTCTCCTTTTTTTTTTAACATCTCAGTTGGGCAATGCGGAAATCAAATAGGATCAGCTTTCTGGCCTTTGACCTTGCACGAATACGGCATTCAAACTGCCACCGGCGGCGTAAATCTGCTCAAGGTGCAACGAGATCACGTCAAGCACATCGGCGATCTTTCTGATGCGTTTTCCAGCTTTTTTCACGTCCCAGATAATAAATGTAGATTGCATTTTCAAGATGTAGCTGATTTAAACGCGGCTAAAGTTAAAGCTAGGGTGTGTACACCTCCGTTTAATTTCTCAAAACTGACAAAATAATGAAAATTTTCAAATATCTAACATAATAATTTTCTGAAGCAGGCTGTCTTAGTAGATATGGAGGATAGCGTTGTATCTAGGTTTAAACAAGGTCCACTGCGACAGTTATTCGATCAGACATGTATCGTAACGAATTACCCAGGATCTGGAAACAATTGGTAGTTTGTGAAAAAGCAACGTTTATATTTCATATAGTACCGTAGAAATTTTCGGGATAATAATTTGATTTCTAGGGCAGTAGGATATCATGTACACGGTAACGAGTATCACGATCGTTTAGAGGAAAGTGTAAGACACGTAGTCGAAAAATGTGATCGACTTCACGGGTTCTTATTGATGCATTCTTTGGGGGGTGGCACTGGTTCTGGATTAGGAACAGCAACCTTGAAACTGTTAAAAGATAATTACCCTCATGTAGAAAGGTACTCTTTAACTAATATATACAAATGTTGATTAAATTAATTGAATCTTAAAACATCTGAGACATAACTTGAAGACAAAGATTGAAGATTATGTATAATCAATATTTTAGAATTGTATCGTGTGTGTATCCAGCAAATACACAAGACACCATAACTGCCCCTTACAACACCTTGCTGGCAACTCGAGAACTTGTGGAACACGCCACATGCGTGCTTCCCATTGAGAACAAAGCTCTCTTAGATATATGTAATGCTCAGATAAATAAACGAGATAACGCAGGTCAAGTAAAATATAATGCCTCGTGTAGACCGTTTCAAGACATGAACAGCATCGTCGTTAATATGCTCTTGCACTTGACCAGGTAATTGAATCTGGGATCTGTGATACAAGATTTAAACACTGTCAAGACAGCAATTTGTTTTAGTGGATCCAGGTTTCCAGGAAGCTTAAATATGGACATGAATGAAGTGGCTACGAATCTAGTACCTTATCCAAAATTACATTACATATTCAGCAGTATCAGCCCTGTGACTTTATCTGCCCCAAATATGTGCACCACGCAAGAAACAAAGTATATTAATTTCCTTTTTCTTAAATTTTGAAATTAAGACTGAAGCTCAAATAAAAAAAAAAACAGTAAAATATTAATTTAATGTTTAAGATTGCAGGATGAAGTATTCACGAACGCATGGTCCCGAAATAATCAATTAATTAGATTAGATCCACTTCAATCTACTTCTGTCATTCTTGCTGCAGCACATATTGCAAGGGGAAATACTACCTTAACTAATATAAAGCGAAACATTGAAAGGTATACAATCTAATTTTTTTTTATATATATAAACATGTAGCAGTGTATATTTATTTTATATTATGTCATTTTTGTAGGTTTCAAAACAAGTCAAAATTTACTTCGTGGAGTAGGGATTGTATGAAAATAGGATTATGTTCCGTTCCCCCAGCAGGACATTCATCGTCATTACTGTGTCTTCTTAATTCATCTGCCATGTCTTCATTATTTAAAGATATAATCCAAGAGTTTTCTAAACTGTATAAGAAAAAGGTACAATTTAATGTAACTTCCTATTTTTTGAGGAGTAGGAATATGATTTTTTATTCCCTGAAATCTCGTTAGTTTTCTTGTTCTTAAAATCTGTGACTAAATAAACGTACAAAAATTATTTTTTAATATAAATTTGAAGATCGCACGATTATAAAATATGCATTTTATTATAATTATAAATTGCAATTTGCATTTCAGGCACATGTCCATCACTATACACAAATACATGGATTTGAAGAAACACATTTTATTGAAAGCAAAGAGAATATTCTTAGTTTATGTGAATGTTATGAAGAAATACAAAATATGGAAGAAACGAATATTTCTAGATTGCAAGTAATTTAATTAATTTGTAAAAAGAACTTGAACATGGAATCTAAGGCCGGTATTCATAGTTATTTAAGTAGCGTCTTAAGACATTACTTAAGACGATCTCGAAGACTATGAATACCGGCCTAAATGTATCTTATAACATTTATATATGTAACAAAAAATTTCTCTATATTTATAATCAATATTTATTAATTTATTAATATATATGTACAACATAGTACTAATTTAATAAAAATAGTGACTTTGGAAACAGTAACAAAAATCTATTAATATGGAACTAAACTAAATATCTTTTGCGCAAATGATATCAATAAAACATTGTTTAGATCATTATTTATATCGCACGAGTGTCGGTTAGAAAAGCTGTGTGCCTCGTTCTTAAAAGATTGTATGTCTTTGGGCATGCATGCGAATATTCTTAAGCTTACATTTGTCTTATCTACAGATTTTGTATGTATTTCGTATGTATTTTAATATTTAGCTAGCAGGTATTTGTGGCAAGCCAAACTCATCCACCGGAACACCATCCTGTAAACATATTTAAAAAACGTTTTCTGTCAGAAGTATAAATAATTTTCAGTATAAATTATATATACGCGTATTCGTATTAAAATAATGACCTTGTTCTTGACAGAATTTGCTCCAGGTTCTTTATCTGGGGCGCTAGGTGCTTTTATAGCGTCGTCTAAGTAGCTGGTATCCTCATCCAAAGCGAGGTCATCGCCGAGAGCCTCCAGTTCCGCCGTCAGCTCGTCCTCATCAATTTCTGGCATTCCATAGCTGCGACCCATTGCTTCTTGCACCTCGTCAGCTTGTTCCAACATATCTGCCAAATCGTCTTGTACGTCCTGTTTGCAACAACAGCGATACATATAAACGTCGAATCAAAAGTTTGATCAAAGCTTGTGTTATAATAGATTATTTCCAACTCACCTCGATTTGATCAATGTTGATATTTTTGAATTCCTTTTGCATTTGCTTGACACCATCTTTCATAGCAACTACAGTTGCCTGGGTGTCTTTCAATGTCTGAGTGGCGTAATTGGCTTGCTCCATGTTGAACGCTTGCTGGCGCAGATTATCAACTTGGGACTCGTACATCTTCCGCTGCTTCAACACACGCAGCGCCTTGGACTTGACCGCGTTCTTGGCCGGTCCATCCCTCATCTTGACCATTTGATCCTTGTACTTCTTTAATTCCGCATCCAGCCTGGCTATCTTCTTTTCCGCAGAGTCCGCCCTACTGTCAACCTTGATAAAGAACGTCGCACGTTTACCAAACGGGTCCCAATCGCCTCGAAAATGAATAAAAACGCCTGGCTATCTACGACGCGTCATGCCTCGATATAAAGTCACGCGAATTTTTTAAATGCAGTACGAATACCGGGAACGACGCAATAATGCGGTAGAACAACAGAGAGCGATTATCTCCTGACGACAATAGATTCGTTCTTCCTTACCCCGGCGATGCAGTCAGTGATGCTTGGTGGCGGTTCCTTGGGTTTACCGCGTCCGAAGAGCCTGTTCATTTTGCAAATTGATTAAGCGCGCGATGAGACGATTCTCGGTATATTTCCCTCCGTTTGCCGAAACGTCAGGTCTGATTGGGTCTGATTAGACGCAATGATGCAGACGGACGAGACGAGTGCGTGACATGACGAGCGACGTGACTTTAGACTGGAGCAACTCTGACGTCAGTGACGTCATCGTAGACGCTTGCAAAGTACGGCGGGAGTCGGCGCTCTGCAGAATCTCGGCCAATCTCGGGATATCTCGGCCATCTTCGCTGATCTTCGCAGAGACTCGTTTCAAATCCCGGATCGCGGTAGCTGCGGTATTATGTCCATCTTGAGATCGTCTCCGTCGTCCGTCCCGAAAACTCCCCAAAAAGTCTGGACATTCGGCCGACTGCAACGTCACGACCGTTTCTGAATGATTATGGAAGTAATGTCTGTTCGAAGACGATATTTTCTCGTGGCGGAGTATTCGAAAACGAGGGGAATACGAAAACCGTATCCTCACTCGCGCAAGGTAATGAAATTTTGTCGGACGCTTTTGCACTTTTTGGTTAAACGAGTTACCCTTTTCGGGTAACTTCTCTCGTTTTCTTACGTTCGTTTGTCGCAAGAGCTCGAATTTCGATCGAAACTCTCGCGTACAGCTTTCAGAAAATACAATTAATTCCGTCCTAAATAATTATTGCCTTTAATTCTACCTAGAGTTTTAAATTCTAATACCTCCAATTACTCAGAATTTCCCTTAATTCCATTTTTCCGTTTATACCATTTCTATCGTATTTTTACAAAGTCAGATAAAAACGCGATTGCGCATTCGCGTTCTTACATAAATACGAATCTAATCAGCTAAATGCGCGGTGTACGCAGAAGAAAAAAAAAAGGAAATAAGTTCACAAACGCGCCAATCTCGAGGAAATTAATTCTCCGAGGCCTTATCGCCGTCTCGTTATCGGTGATGTCAAAGAAAGAATTCATCAAAACGATTAGATTACTCTCGTTCCGCTCGGCGGAAACGCCGCGCGTCGCCCGCGTCGCCTGCGTCGCCGTTGAAAGCGTCCCATTTCTCGTTACGCAAGTCGAAGCGCGGGAACGCGCGTTTATGAACAATATGTAGGCCGCGCGCGCGTCTCCGCGCCGTCGGCGGCCAGTAATTCGCATCCCGCGGCTAATCACGAGAGATTTACGGTACAGCCTCCGACGGAGGCAGCGCGTCGCGCCTTTTCCCCCCCTCGCAAGACGGTACCCCGTACCCCGTGCCCCGGGCGCCGCGCGCGAAGGCACGCGAGATTCCGCGCGTAATTGCGGACGCGAGCGCGCATGCGCGCGCGATCTCCTCGTTATCCACCGCTATAAATCGCCCCCGTCGCGATATTTTTATTTACACGCCCGCCTCTAATCCCCCGTACAGCGGAGGCTGCACCTCCGCGCGCTTCATGTCTCTCTCTCTCTCTTTTCTTTCCCCCCCTTCCCACCCTCTCTCTCTCGCTGTCGGTCTCTGTTCCGTCGGTACGTAAACCGAAACCGGCTCCCTCGGCTCTTATCGAGCGCTGCCGCTTATCAAGCCGCCGCTGCCGCCTCGCGACGCTTGCGTCGATCGTTGTTGGGAAAGGTTCGAGTCCTCGAAGGTATATAAGGCGGCCACTCCGCCTCCGCTATCCGCGAGAGAGGAATCCGTGTTTTCTTCTATACAGCAATACCCTTCTTGCGAAAATCCTCCCTTGAAAGCTCTTATCCTAACTTCAGAATAAAATTGAAGGAGATTCCGTTAGAACTTGAAGCTCGACTTGAAGGTAAAGTTAAGGAATTCCATACGGAGGATTGCAGGAACTTTATTGAGAAAAATGTCTGATTCTATCGGCGATCTTTTCCCCTTAGAATCTACTTACAAGGAATACCGATCCGATTTTTCCTTGCCGAGAACTTTGCGAGAGATTATCACTTTTTATTTATCGTCTTGCCTTTAATCTTTACTATCTTATTTTTTTTAGTATCTTGGATAAGATCTTGAATTCGATTTCTGCAAAAAGCATAGTTCGAATATTAATTTAGAAAATGAGGTTTCTATTTATCGATTATTTACATATTATGAAAGGCAAAAAGGAAGAAAAAAGGCCTTTATCTTTTCAAAATGAATTTGAAACACCTGTATAATTTCTTTACATAATTTCAAATTTCTTTTGCATGCATCCAGCACTTTTGGACATTTTTGAAACTATTCTCATTCAATAGCTAGTATTCTATCAGTCGCTTAATAATAAGAAGACATTTTATTATAAAACGTTATTTCTGTCCTATTTCTCTCCCCTATTTCTATTCGATTGTGTTATTTGAAATTATTTGAAATCACAATTACATCCCTCTCTCTTTTATACAACCCCCGTAAGATTGATTCATAAAAAAATCCATCAATTTTCAGTATTAAATCACGTTGCTCCAATTTTCTTATCATATAGAGTCCGCAGCTGAAACAACATTGAATGATTTCAGGACACCCTGTATGACTAGAGGGTTGCAAAGAGGGTGGACGCGGTTGTGGAGGGAGACAGGCGTCGCGGTGGTGGTTCCGGTGCGGCCGCGATGGCGGTGGCGACGTCGACGTCAGGGCGCCTGCGTGAGCGGCGGCGACGACGACGACGTCGACGACGACGACGACGACGACGACGACCACGAGGAGGAGGACGATCAGCGTCGTCGGAGTACGGCGGAGACGTACACGGCACGACTGGCTGCCGGACGAAGATCGCCGAGTGCGCACGGCTTCACGCGCTGCACGCATCGACGATACTTATATCCGAACGGGCTGTGGCATGCCCCGACCCGCGGCGCGGCCGCAGTGCTCCAAAAGTCGGCACGACGCACGAATCGCACCGCTGCGGCGCGCGCGCGCGCGAGAAGCATACACGACGACGACGACGACGACGCAGCAGCAGCAGAAGCATCAGCAGAAGCAGCACCAACAGCAGCGGCAGCAGCAGCAGCAGGAGCAGCAACAGCAGAGGAGAGACCAGAAAGTCGCGTTGTCAAAACGCGCTCTGCTGGCTGGAGTTTTCCGGGCCTCCTCCTCCTCCTCTTCCTCCTTCTCCTTCTCCTTGCACCTCCACCAGCCCTTCTCTCTCGCTCTTCCGTTCCGTTCGAGCTCGAGCGCGGTCGACGGAGGTGCGAGGGCGTACGCGTGACGGAGGAAAACGCAGAGACCAGACGACGGTGAGACCACAAGTGACCGTCGAGGGAAAATGGGGAAAACATGCGAGGCGACCGGGAGGAGGCAGCGCTAAACCGTCGTACCTCGTAGAGGAGGTGGGAGAGACCGACGTACGTGTGCGGTCAGAGGTGGTGCACGATACCGCGTGTAGGCGGGGATCGTCGGCGGAGGTGTGGAAGAGTGGCCCCCTCGGGTCGCCGCGCCGCGCGCGATTACCGCAGTGTGCGAATCCGCTCCGTTCCGTTCCGCTCCGATTGTCGTCCGGGTGGAGAGACACGTCGCAGGTCCGCGAGCGCGGTGCGGTGGTAGTAACCCTGACCTGATATACCCCGTACGCTACGCTCCTCTCGGGCGCGGGCACGCGTCTACTCGCCACAGAGTCCACGCTGAGGATCGCGGTGCGTGCGCGCGTGTGTGCGTGTATTGCGCGCGAGCGTGCAATAAACCACATCGGCGAGCTCCACGTCCACGTTCGTCCGCGCCGCGTGAGCGTACCTCACGTACGTAAAACGGAGCTTATCGGCGATCGATCGATCGCGCGCGCGCGACAGACGATACGCCGCGGCGCCGATACGCGGAACAATTGGCGATCGGCGACGGCGACACGTCGCGTCGTCGGGGGAGTAGCGCACGACTGTCGGTCCCGCGAGTGCGCTTCCCGCGGGGAATCCTGCCTATCGTCGTCCTCGAGACCAGCCACCCTCCCTCGCTCGCCGCCGCCGCCACCGCTGGGGGATATCAGCGGGTTCAGCGTGACAGCCAGAGTCGCGGAGTCGCTCGCGATCGCCACGCGAAGGACGCGAGTCGTTCCGCTTCGTCGGACCGTGGGGTGGTGAAACGTATCGCGGTATACGCTACACACGTTCTTCCCTCCCGCTCTCTTCCCGTCCTCCAGCGCCTCCGCCTCCTCCTCCGCCTCCGCATCCGCGATACGATCCGCGGAGCGACCTCGTACCGTAGTCGCGTGTGTGTGATAGTGGCGAGCGAAAGGTCGCGCGCGCTGCGCTGCGTATTTGGGAGGATTCCAAGTGGTCCAGCGGTGTGTATCCCCGCCGAGTGGATCGAAATTATGTTCGCCAGGGGATAGCCCGCGGAACGAGACGCGCACACGGCGAGCGAGTGGACGATCGAACGCGGGGGAGGCAGCCAGGAGCAAGCTTCGCAACGAGCAGCGCTTCGCGTAGGAGCGCCGCGACGACGATGACAACGCGCGTCGCCGAGTGAGCTTGGCTCCCCGACAGCCAAGAGGATGCCACGGAGACAGGGTCGCTGCCGAATCGTACCGGGGCGACGCGGCGTCAGTTGGATTTAGAGAAACGTCTCGAGGAAAAGAAGTGCGCGATCGGAAGTGAGGCGATCGGGGGACGAGGAAGACGAGGGAGAACGAGATTATACATACGCCTTGGGCTCCCGAGAAAAATAGACCGAGGCGTGAAAATAGAAGGTGGGAAACCAGTCAAGAGAGAAAAGTAGTAAAAGAAAACAGAGAGAACAGCAAAAGGAAGACATCGCGAAGAGAAGACGAAGAGGAGGACACGCGACGAGGAGGATCACCGCGCGGTCTTTTGGTTTCCGGAGTCTCTCTCCGTGGGTGTTTTTACGCGTGGATCGATAGTTTGTCCCGCAAGCTCGTGCCGGACGAGAGTTCGAGTTACGACGGCAAGTTACTCTACGTGGAGGACACGCGCGGTCCTCGCGTTCGACGACAACGACACCCCCGAGCCGCGAGTAACGAGGCCCGTGGGAGACGAGTGGAGAGAAGGAGGAAGTTTCCGAAAGGGCCTAGCTGGAGGTGCCGGTTATCGTGACGGTCGTCAACGTCGCGAAGACGCTCCGCGAACGAAAGCTCCGCGGTGATTTATGGGGGATTACAGCGCGAGCCTCTTCTCGAGTACCCTGACCAGCCCGAAACCTAACGCAATCACGAGCAACAGCAGCAGCAGCAACTTCAGCGCCGCCGTCACCATAACGACATCCACGATGCAGGACGATCTGCTGATCGAGAAGCAAGCCGCTGGGAAGCCCGCACCGCTCTCGCCGAGCGGCGCCCTCGACACCGTGGCTGGGCAGGACAAGTCGAAGGACGTGATCGAGGCGGAGAGCATCGCCATCACCCCGACGACTCCCTCGTCGACGGAGAAGGACATCACGTGCAGCACGACCTCAGCTCTGCAGGGTTTCGCCGATCCCGGTGGCCGCGTGCCCAGCCTTTGGTCCGCACCGGACGACGGCGGCCTGCACACCGCGTTACCGGTCAACGGCTCGATCGCCGCCTTTCAGAATTTCCCGGCTGGTGGGCCCGCAGGCCTGTTCGCCAGCACCGGCGCGGTTTCGACCGGTACCCGACGAGCTATCACGGCCAGTCATAACTTTCCGCAGCAGCAACAGCAGCAGCACGGTAACGCGGGTGCGCCCACCGGTACCAGACACGGCGGTCTGCAAGTGTCGTCCGCGCAACAGCAACAGCAGCAACAACAACAGCAACAGCACCAACAGCAGCAACAACAACCTCCGCCGACGTCGCACCCGAGCGTCTATCTGCCCGGCAAAGGATACGCCGCGTGGTCGGGCGGACCGCAGGCCCCGCAGCAGTGGGGCGCGGGCCCGCAAGCGGCTGCCGCCGCGGTCGCCAGTCCGGGCCTATCTCCGTGGAACCGTGGCAGATCCGTGCCCAACTTACCGCCGCTGCACTCGTCCTTGCACGCCGCCGCAGCGGTTGCGGCCGCGGCCGGTCTGCAAGGCCGCAAGCCAAGTCCAACGTTCCCGGGCCATCCGGGCCCGGCGGCGGCGCATCCCTCCTGCATCAGCCCGGTCAAGTTTCGTCGGAGCACCTCGTACCCCGGCAAGGGTAACATATATCCACCCCAACCGGCACCGACCTTCGAGGTAACCGCCGCCGAGGAGAGGGACCTGCTGCAGATGCCGCCATTTCAGCAGGTGAGTCAGTCGCAAGTCTTAAAACTAGTCTTCACTCTGCGTGAAGTTTAGGAAGCTGACCTCGCGTGGTTAGTTATGCTGATTTAACCCACTTTTCTACGAACTTTAGGAAATTAATGCGGGAGTTGAAATTTAATTTAATTTATGGGATATCTGATTTTTGCCATTTTAAAATCAATCCTCGAGTTCCGAACAAGCGAATTGGAACACCGCCGTATTGAACGCTTCGATTTATTTATCTCGGGAATGACTCACTTCACGCCGTTAGAATGAAGCTCTTTTGTAAAGAAGAATAACTCCATCTGGTAGAGTGCCAGAAAGAGATTTTTAACTAATCGATTTTCCCTTGTTCGTGTGAAAAATCAACTGTCTCTAGTTGGTTAATGGATAAGCTAAAAAATCAACATCGCTGATGATATTATTATTATCATCGAGTAAATTAGTAATTCGTTTAAAAATCCGTATAAAAATCTGACGCTATTAGCGACGTGCTGATCACACATGCTGTCAGCCAGTTAGATTGTGTTCTCTTCTCCGCATGCTATTCGCGTCGATTGGTTGCACAGATCACGGGTAAAAGAAGGGGACTCGGGACGACCGCGCGCCGTTTGTTGTTTTACTCGACTCGCGGGCACCGATGGCACGGGGACTCGTTGCCTCGACTTTTTTTCACAGCCGAGTGGCATCGCGTTATCGATCGCGGGTTGAAGCAGGTAGTATAGCCAAGGGTACTCGCTTGTAAAACTGCGCCGGCAATCATGCGGTCTCGTAGGCCGTCGTGGAAGGCGCGCGCTATGCTCCCGACTTCCGCAGTTTCGCGTTCTTTCGGTGCGCCACGGTGCCGCACCGCACGCGTTACTCGTGCCACCTCGGGTTATGCAACTGCTCCCCGAGAATGAGAGAGAAAGAGAGAGAGAGACTTCACGCATTTAAATTTAGCCGATACAACGGCCGTTCCGGTAGTCGTACGGCCGTCCGACGTGACACCGTCGTTTTTAACGGCGCGATAATGTTGCAGCGGACTTAGGTCGTAAACGTACGAGGTACCAGGCGAGCCACGGTTATACCGCCGGGCCGGCCGTGTCGACGGTTGAGCGCGTTTTCCGTCCACGCGGGAATTTTACGCGGTGAAATCCGGGTTATCTCTCCGCCGCGCGGCGTTTCGCATATCTACCCGCGTGATAACGATACCTCATACGTATCGCGAGGCGCTGAGGAAGCTCGCCAGGCCGAAGTATTACATATATCGAAAGTGTTCCGGGAGTCTTTCACTTTTCGGCGTAATCTCCGTAGCCACGTTAAGTACGTTCCGCACATGTGCCGTCGCTGAATAGCGGCGCGAATATATATAGAAATAGAAAAGGAATAGATAATGGAATGAATGGCGCGCGGGCGAAAATACGGGTCAGCGTTTTCCTCGATTATATATTTTTCCACACCTTCGCTCCATTTTCACGTCCGACGTACAATGACGTATCAGAGATTTAACACGATATTGATCTTAAAGCTAGCGTTATATACGTATATTTTTTTGCGGTGCAGTTAGCAAATGAATAAATAATCTCATTTATATTATCCTGGTTTTGCACGACTATGAAGCTTAATTTAAGTAAATTTAATACCGGATTACTGCGTAATACTGTTGATATTATATTCTTATTGGATAAAATCCATTTATATTATCATTATCACTTTTATTTATTGCGCCCTTTGTAACAGATCTCTTCCATTCGAGGTATTAATAATTTTCCGTAATAATTTTATGAATAGCGAAATGACGGTTGGATAAAGAGAGTTGAAATTAGTTCACTAGGTATCTTTATTAAATTATTTAAAAATTATCTCTCTTTGAGGATCATACATTTACTAAATAGATATATATATATTATATGTTGTAGATGTATATTTCATGAATTATAATTTTATATTTCTGTGGCACACTTTGGGCAAATATACTGAAAGATAAAAATACCTATTTATCATCAAATTATAAAAATATATATAGGTCGTAATAATAGACGCGCGTGTGTGTGTATGGAAAAAAGACATGAATATTCTTAAAAATACATGACCATCACCTCTTAAGACGTTATTTCGGGACAACTACTTTTTCCATGTAGATAAGAGTTATCAAAGTTGCCATTAATAATCGATTTTACTCATTTTTTGTTATCTATCTGCGCTATCTGAAACTACTCCGCTGATACTTATTTTGTCGTTCAAGTCTGACCCAATTCCTTACCGACGTGGTAACTCCGACAGTGTCTAGCAGAAGTTTAAGCTCAGCTATTTTAACCACCACTCGAAAATAGATCTGCATACTATCCGAGAGAAATGGCGGGTGTCGTCATGCTGTCGTTCAGCTATCATCTTCGCGCATACCTTGTTTCAACATTTATATGTATATTTATATACCGTTTTCCTTCCCACGATTTCTTTATCATGCCAAATAATAGTGTCTATTGTATAAAATCGTGAGAAAAAAAAACGACTACGGTCGAAGACGCGTTCTATTTACGATAGTAAAATATCGTCGATATAGTATCACAATATGTTAAGAAGTGTAGCATAAATTTTTAAACTAAAGAAATTCCGAGACGTCTCCGTTGATATAAAGTATCTTAAAAATACTGCGTATTGATCAAGTTTAATTAAAGACGGTCCATGTAATTTTTTATTACTATTCTATTTATATTATTTGATGTTGACAGACAAGTTATTGTCTCGATATTTTCTTTTTTCTTTCTTGGCCGGTATACAAAAATTCGGCATTTCGTCAGATTTATATCGGTCACATCACACGACTGTGTTCCAAGGAACGAACAGGTGAGCGCCGCGCCGCGCCGCGCCGCGTGCAGTGCAAAAGACGTCGCGTCGGTTTATCGATATCAGCAGCCTTAACATCATTGAATTGACTGTACGTCGCCGAGAACAATTAGCTCGTACACAAACAAGTCGTGAATATGATCCGTATACCGATTCAATTAAATACTACCTTCAGTAGAAATTACGATACACAGTCTACGTTCCTCGACGGTTCTTTTTTTAATTTCTTTTTTTAATTTTAATTGCCAAAATGCGTAATTTTATCCTGTCAAGTTTTTAGAAGACGCTACAAACTTGAAAAAAATATTACGCAAGAGTTGCGCGTGTAAAATTTTATTTAAAATTTATCTCGTCTTAAAAAAAATTTCTTTATTTTTTTTTGCTTTTGAATATCTTGAAAACGCGTAAAGGAAAATATAATTGGGACGTTCATTCAGTTTTTATGAAATATACAATTTCTTTTATTTATTATGGTTAAATTCACATTACGTTATCCAAAATATAGCGACTGATACTAACACATGAAACGTTACGGTACATATACGTTGATATAGTAGCCGATAATAAAAGATATTAATGGAAGAAAATATGAGAATGAGAAAAACCCATCATCGTTCTTTCGTCGATCTTCGCGATTTTTCGCCGTCGATTTTCCGATTCGCTTTGCGATGCGACTGTGTTCGAGCGATCGATGAATAATACACGGGCACAAGTGTGTCGCGGATTAGAAGTCGCGCGCGCACGCGCCCAGGTAATGCGGCAAAAGCGCCTAACAGAGCGAAGAAATGCCCGAGCTCGAAGTCCGATAACTCATTGCTCGTCATTCACCTTGAGAGGGGAATCGGGGCACGTGTAGTAGGTCGCCTGGCCGATATGTCGAGGGGACCAATCGCCAGTGGATACCGATCGCGTGTGTGCGCGTGTGCGCACCCACCCGTCCACACACGATCGCAGCTTTGCTTGTGTCGGTGATCGCGTCGAGAAAAAAAAATAGAAAAATCGTAACGTAGCGGCTACGCGTAGAGATAACGATTACCATCACGCCGTCGCGGTCGCGCTCGCTCTTTACCTCGTGCGGCGAGCATGAAAACGCCATTACGGAACGCATAATTCGCCGTCGAAATAACGATCGAAACGCGAGGAAACGGAACTCCTAACGAAGCTGGCCCGGCGTTTCCCGAGGGTCAATAGCGTTCTTATTTATTTACGGTGTTTTATCGCGCCGGACTAAACAGTGTAATAACGCCTGTGAAACGTGTCACGTGAACGACGTACGGACGGACAGAGTCGCCGATCGTTAGAAAAAGGGGGAGAGACGGCTCGCAATATGTCGCGCGCGAAGGTCGCCCTCGTCCCGGGGTCGAAATTGATCTCCGATAGATCGAAGGTGCGAGGCTAATTTTACTCCGCGTGTACCGCGGTTAAGAAGAAAACACGAAAAGACTTTCTTGGGGAAAACTTTTTATCCGCACACGGCAGGCACGACGGCAGCCACTTTGAAAGTCTTTCGTGTGCATTCTGCCGAATGAATTTAAAGAACCTCGCGTACGAACCGATCGTCATTAAACTTCCCGCATTTTCTTTTTGTCTATGGATCCTTTGATTAAGTTAGAGGGAATTTTCCCTCATCAAAAACATGGAATACCTATTTTGAAATTTAATCTTTGAGTTGAGACAGACTTCGAAAATAATAAGAAAATTAGAAATTCGCAGAAACATGAAACTTAATATATTTACTCTTTGTACAGTTTTGCACGAGGGAGTTTGTTATTACAATCTGATATTTATATATATACAAAAAAAAAGTTATGAATATATTCTAAATAAACGTTAAAATAATCTAAGTCGTAACGTAAATGTAATCTAATTTTTTACAGGAAGTTTTTATTATGCTATAATTTTTCTCTTCTACCTTTGTATATATGTGACCTTAATTTTAATGCTTTCACATGCCGTGTTCTCAACACGTGGACACTGTCGCCAAATGAAAAGCCTCGTCGTATTATTTTAACGAGTGCTACTCGAAGTTTGTCCCATTTTTTTATGTAGACTAGTATAATATTTTACCCTCGTATTTTACTTAATAAGTTAATTATTTTTGAAGGAGACTGAGTGTGACAGAGAATAATATCCTTTAATGAAATAAATCATCTGTCATGCATGTGAATTTTTCT